TCCTTCTCCTCCTTCTCCTCCTTCTCCTCCTTCTCCTCCTTCTCCTCCTCCTCCTCCTTCTTCTCCTTCTCCTCCTTCTCCTTCTTCTCCTCCTTCTCCTTCTCCTCCTTCTCCTTCTCCTCCTCCTCCTCCTTCTTCTCCTTCTTCTCCTTCTCCTCCTCCTCCTTCTTCTCCTCCTCCTCCTCCTCCATCTTCTTCTGTTCCAATTGGGAATGGCCGATGTATTTGAAAACTGGGAGTCTTCTCCTCCTTCTCCTTCTTCTCCTCCTTCTCCTTCTCCTCCTTCTCCTTCTCCTCCTCCTCCTCCTTCTTCTCCTCCTCCTCCTCCTCCATCTTCTTCTGTTCCAATTGGGAATGGCCGATGTATTTGAAAACTGGGAGTGGTCGGTGTATTTGAAAAAGTGTGCGTGCCCACGAAAGCTCGCACTCTAAATTTATTCTACTGCTTCAGACCAACACGGCCGACTACCTGGATCCGATTTCTACGGGGCGATTTACCCCTTCCCAGTGTCTGCGTGCCCCTCCTCCCCCCCAAAAAAAATCCCTGCTCCCCAATTCAATCTGGGACAGAGAACCTGTCCTCACTGGGCCCATTTAGGAGTAAGCGGTTTTGAAATGCGCGGTTGATGAGAGGAGGTATTAAGGAAGAGACCGGGCAGCTTCTTCCTCTCTCTCCTAATCCTAGAATCCTGGGTCACCCAGTGAAACCCGGCAGCAAGAGATTCCAGGAAGTATTGCTTCACGCTGGCACCTAATTAGCTTGTGGAATTCCCTGCCACATGATGCAGTGGTAGCCCTCATCCTTGGATAGCTTTTGCTTTTAAAAAAAACAAAACAGAGCAGGTGGATTGCCAGGAAGTTGTCCCCGTTGAAGCTTATGAACTGTGACAGCTGAATGGAGCCTCCTGCTTTAGGAGTCGTTTACCTCGGAACTGAGCTCTCGTTTCCTGCTTCAGTGAACACCCCGGGACCAAAAATGTTCATCTTGCAGCGCCTGATTAATTAAGAACACAAAAAGGGCCCTGCTGGATCAGACTAGTGGTCCAGCATTCTGCCTCACAGTGGCCAACCAGTTCCTCTAGAGGGCCAACAACCGGGCACAGAGGCTGAGGCCTTCCCCTGATAGGAACATCTGAAGAGCCCTGCTGGATCAGACCAGGGGTCCATCCAGTCCAGCATCCTGTCTCACACAGTGGCCAGCCGGTTCCTCCGGAGGGCCAACAAACAGGACAGAGAGGCCAAGGCCTTCCCCTGATAAGAACATCAGAAGAGCCCTGCTGGATCAGACCAGTGGCCCATCTAGTCCAGCATCCTCTCTCTTACAGTGGCCAACCAGTTCCTCCGGAGGGCCAACAAACAGGGCAGAGAGCCCTTCCCCGGATAAGAACATCAGAAGAGTCCTGCTGGATCAGAGCAGTGAGGGTCCATCCAGTCCAGCATCCTGTCTCACACAGGGGCCAGCCAGTTCCTCCGGAGGGCCAACAAACAGGGCACAGAGGCCTTCCCCTGATAAGAACATCAGAAGAGCCCTGCTGGATCAGACCAGTGGTCCATCTAGTCCAGCATCCCGTCTCACACAGTGGCCAGCCCATTCCTCTGGAGGGCCAACAACAGGGCAGAGAGGCCGCGGCCCTCCCCTGAGAACAACCTCAGAAGATCAGACCAGTGAGGGTCCATCTAGTCCAGCATCCTGTCTCACACGGGGGCCAGCCTGTTCCTCTGGAGGGCCAACAACAGGGCAGAGAGGCCGAGGCCTTCCCCTGATGAGAAGATAAACAGAGCCTTGCTGGATTAGACCAGTGGTCCATCTAGTCCAGCATCCTGTCTCACACAGTGGCCAGCCAGTTCCTCCAGACAGCCAACAAACAGGGCGGAGAGCCCTTCCCCTGATAAGAACATCAGAAGAGTCCTGCTGGATCAGACCAGTGGTCCATTTAGTCCAGCATCCTCTCTCACACAGCCGTCATCCAGTTTCTCCGGAGGGCCAACAAACAGGGCAGAGAGGCCAAGGCCTTCATAAGAACCCTGCTGGATCAGACTAATGAGGTCCATCTAGTCCAGCATCCCATCTCACAGAGGGGCCAACCAGTTCTTCCGGAGGGCCAACAAACAGGGCAGAGAGGCCGAGGCCTTCCCCTGAGGTTGCCTCCTGGCTCTGTGTTTCAGAGGCTTCGTGCCTCTGAGTGTGGAGGTTCCCCTCAGCCGCCATGGCTAGTAGCCACGGATAGACTGATCCCCCACGAATCTGTCTAATCCCCTTTTAAAGCTGTGGCCCTCACGACATCCTCCGGCAGCGAGTCCCACGTTTCAGTCACTCTCTGTAAAGTGGTCTTTCCTTTTGTCCGTCCTAAACCGACTGCTTCAGACCAACATGGGAGGCCCTCGAGCCGTAGCATTTGGGGTGGGGGAGAAAAAGTTCCCTTTGTCAACTCCTCTCCACCCCCGGCATAATTTTATAAACCTCTCTCATGTCTTCCCTCAGTTGTCTCTTTTCAAAATGGAAAAGTCCCAGAATATTTAGCCTTTCCTCCTAGGGAAAGGGGCTCCAACCAGCCCCCTCATCGTCTTGGTCGCCCAGTCAGTGTTCCCTCTAAGCTGAGTTAGCGTGAGCTAGCTCAGAGTTTGTTAGCCTCCGGCTCACACATTTTTGTCTTGGCTCAGGGCAGAGGGCTCCAGAGCAGACTAATTGACGCAGCAGCCAAACTGCTCGCTCACAGCTTCGATGCCAGTCGCTCGCCAAGTAGACTTTGCTCACAGGACTCCACAGCTTCGAGGGAACCCTCCTCTGGATGTTTCCCGGCTCGGCAGTGCCTTTCTAGTTTCAGCTCTCTGTTTGAAGATTGCTGCCCTCCTTACGGCGGGGGCGGGGGGGAGGAATAGAAAGGTGTGGTAACAGTGACACGCGCTGGTCTTTGTTTTAGGATGACGAGAGCAGGACGTCTGGAAATGTGGTTTTATTTAGCGCCTTCCCCTCCCTTGCAGGTGGTACTGCGGTGGCTCAAGTGGTTAAGACGCTGAACTGCAGGCTGTGGAAGGTCGGCAGTTTGGCAGTTCGAGACCCGAGTCTGCCGCATGACGGAGTGAGCTCCCGTCTCTAGTTCCAGCTCCTGCCAACCTAGCAGTTTGAAAGCAAGAAATTGCAAGTCGATAAATAGGTACCACTTTGGTGGGAAGGGAACAGCGTTCCGTGCGCCTCGGTGTTTAGTCACGCCGGCCACATGACCACGGAAACGTCTTCGGACAGCGCTGGCTCTTCGGCTTGGAAACGGAGATGAGCACTGCAACCCTAGAGTAGGATTCGACTGGCTTTCGAGCAAGGGAACCTTTACCTTTACCTCCCTTGCAGGAGCCTCCGACGCCTGGACGTCTCCGACCTCCCGTCCGTCCCCTGCAAAGGTTTGGTCCGGATCTTGCTGGAAGAGATGTTGCCCCAGTGTGAGGTCGTCGGGATCCGCTACGACGAGGACGAACTCACTCTGCCCATCGAACCCGACGTTCACCAGGGTCAAACAGAATTGCTGCGGGAAGCGGCCCGCGTCCAGAAAACCAGAGAGATCCCTGCATGAGTGGGACAGGCGAAGGATTTCCCGAGAGGTTTTTCCTTCTCTTCCCGGATCCTTCTTTGCATTCAGGTTGATAGAAGGAAAGCAATAAATAAATAAATTATTGGGGTAGTTCTAAACTTACACCCGGACGTCTGGAAGTTAATATCCCCGGCGGTCGTCCTTATAATAAATGGAACCTCCATGTTCAGAGGCACTGTACCTCTGGGTTCTCTGGTTGTGGAGTGTTAATTTTTTTTTTAATGAACCGTCGAAGGAGCCAACAATAAACCAACGAGTTGCCCGTGCCCTTAACCTGCGGGCTCGCTAGCGAATCAACTCAACCTTCAGTTTGACTGATCTGCTGATTATTTGAAAGGCGCTTTTATTGTCTCGCTCCCTGGATGGTGTTTAACTTCCTGGAAAGTTTCTTTGTTTTTCTTTGAACCGGGGGAGAGTGCCCTGTCTTTATCTGATTCCGAGTAAACCAAAAAAGGGATCACAGTTACAAGGAAACGTATCCGACAAACAAACACTGTGATAAAAATGACCAAAAAAAAGAAGTTAAGCTGTAATAATTTGAACACGGAACCAGAAGATAATTTGAAGAAAGTAAAAAAGAAGCTAAGATGTATCAAGAGGCCTGACGCCTTTCGATATAATAGGGATTACTCCTGAGGAAGACTGGTGAAATGAGTTTATAACCGGGCGCTCATTGAGGATGACGGACTTTTCCTTGAGAATGTTAGAAATTCCTCAGTAATATTGTAGAAGTTTCATTTCTAATATAATTTGATGTTCATAAGATTTATGAAATGTCATTGTCATTTCAATCACAGTGTTTGTTTGTCTGATATATTTATCTGATTCCTGCCTTAGCGCTGACCGACTCTGCCAGAGCAAGAATTCCATCTAGGCCAGCGACCTGTTACAACAAGGTATAGCCCCGCACCGCACGTGTCCCCAGGGGTCATTTCCTGCAGGAGCGCACAGGAGCAGAGCTCCGGCAGTAAAGAGGCCAAGGGGGCGGGCACATGCAACAAGCCCCCCCCCCTGCTCCCAGCAGCCCTCAGTCAGAGCAAGAAGCAGCCAGGTAAGCTGCAGAGCCCCCCCCCCTGCCCCCTGGTCCAAAACAGTCCAGTGGCACCTTCAAGTTTTATTCAGGCGCAAGCTCTCCCTCCTCTGCGAGGGCAGATCTGCATGTCCCCCCCCCCCAATAGCTAGCAATCCAAAACAGTCCAGTGGAGCCTGAGCAGTGGGTGTTGCCTTCTGACACACTTCCGGTGATGTCAGGGTGTGTGGCATATGCAAATAAGTTATGCTAATGAGTTATGCTAATGAGCTCCTGCACCTCTTTTTCTTCAAAATGACCCCTGGCGGTATCCAGGAGTTAAGATAGACTGCTTCTGAATAGGGAGGCTTCATCGCGTAGCCAAAAAATTTTTGTTTCAGGGGGGCATTTCAAATTTTTAAGGGGGCAGCTAAGTTAAAGTTAATGAAATTAATCTGAACGCCTGCGCCATGATCTGGGCTGTGCAAGCAAAGGCCTAGCAGGCCCAAGGAGCCTGACTAGCAGTGGGAGGAGGCCAGGCCTACAACGCCCAGAAGCCCCTGCGCGGTTTTGGCGCCAATTTTAGCCAATCACAGAAAAAGGGGACTTATATTTTTTTAAAAAATCTTATTTGTTGTTTACTCTGCCTGGTCCTCACGCCTGTTATTCGGCCAAATAAGGGAGGTCTGAAGGTCTTGGGAGGGTGCTCTGGGCCTTCTCAACGAACCTAAAACCAGAGGGGTGGCAGCGTCAGGCGACACCCCACCCGAGCCGGGGGAGGCTCCAAGCCTGTTTCTACCCCTACCCCTACCTCAAGGGACCGGACAGCGAGCGCGTCAGTTCCTAAAAAAGAACAGGTCAGGGGGCGTTGAATTGCCTTCGGAAGGCATTCAGACGCCTTTTGAGTTCCCTTCCACAGGGCAAGAAAGTTTAGGAGGGCGCTCAAGAGCAAAATCTATGTGCATGTTTCCCAAAGGCTCATGGGAATGCTTTCGAAAGACTCACCGTGACCTCGGTGGTCTACAGCAGGGCTGGGCTGGCAGAAAGGGGGATTGTGGGAGATGTATTGAAGGCGCCACTCTTGAGTGCCCTTCTAAGCTTTCTTGGAAAAGAACCCGAAAGGCATTTAAATCCCACCCCCCCTAAGCTGCCTTTCCCCGGGTCCCATGATGCCCCGCCCCCAATTCCACAGCGGGAGGGAGAGGAAAACCCGAGGGCAAGCCGTGTGTGTGTGGGGGGGTCTCTCCTCAAAAATAAGGTTTTTGGCATGGCTGTTTGTGGGGCGGGGCTTTTAATTAAGGGCCCCCCAAGCTCCCCACTGTAGCTATGGGCCTGGTTACGCTGCTTATCATAAGGCAATGTGGCTGGGCAGGCCTCTCGGGTCGCCTTAGCAGTGTCCGGGAGTTAAGGTGGACTGCTTCGGAACATGGAGGCTCCATCGTGGTTCATATTCGTTTTCCCTGGGGCGGCGCCTACACACCAGGCATTTGAGCAAGGGTAGGGCGATCCCGGATGCGGCCTTTCGCAGCTTGTACGACAAGTGGATGTGGAGGGCAAGGGTTTTTGTTTTTTTTAAAATAATCCACTTGCCCTTTTGTGTTCAGTAAAAAAACCCTTAGCAGTGTTCCCTCTAAGCTGAGTTAGTGTGAGCTAGCTCACAGTCTTTTAGCCTCCAGCTCACACATTTTTGCCTCAGCTCAGGAAGGGACGGCTCCAGAGCAAACTAATTTATGCAGAAGCCAAATTGCTCGCTCACAACTTTAATGCCAGTAGCTCACAAAGTAGAATTTTTGCTCACAAGACTTCACAGCTTAGAGGGAACATTGCTCCTTAGTCTTGCTGGACTGCTGCAGGGTTTCTCACTGTGTATACCAATCGGTTGCGCACGCCTCGGCCCCCGAAGGTGCTGCCGTTCGCCGGTCTCAGCAAAATGTGGGCCCGTCGGCCACCTTGCAGCCCCTTGTTGATGGCTCTCGGTTTCGGAACCCCAGATGTGGCACAGATGAGCCCTGCCTGCCGGGAGCTCTGCAGTCATGCTTGTTGACGAAAACACAGGAAGCGATTCTGCAAGTTCGGGCTGGCCCTGAGACGCCCGAAACCCTCCGGGATCAGCACGCTCACTGCAGCTGCAGAAAGGAACTTGAAACTTTTTTTTGTTTTTTAAACTTTCACATGTAACTTTCAACAACCCCTTTCCCTGTTTTGGCACTGCATTGACTCTGAATAAAAGAAGAATCGCGTGCAGGGCTATTTTTGGGCAGGAACGCACAGGAACGGAGTTCCGGCTGGCTCCCAAGTTGGCCACGCCCAGCAGGAACTCATTAGCATAATAGGCCACACCCAACAGCAGAAACTCATTAGGATTGGCTACTTTAGGGGTGTGTGGCCTAACATGCAAAGGAGTCCCTGCTACAAAAAAAGCCCTTGGTTTTGACCACAAACAAGGTAAACAGAATAACAAGCAAAAGGTGGATGTGGCTGGATAACCACACTTCTGGTAACATGGGGGTGCGGCCTAATGTGCTAATGAGCTGTGCTGTCAGGGGTGTGGACCAATAGGCTAATGAGTTTCTGCTGTTGGGTGTGGCCTATTATGCTAATGAGTTCGTGCTGGGCTTTTTCTATAAAAAGAACCCTGATCGCGTGGGGCTAATTCCGACAGCAGAGCTCGAGGAGAAAAACTGTTTTCCCGTTGAAATGTTCGTCGGCGTGTTCTGGATTTTTCTGCTGTAACCAAAACACTTTTTGGCACTTTCCGCACTTGGATCTCATCCCTGGTTTTATCAGAGTTCAATTCACCACACAATACCTTGCATTTATCCCTCGTTGTAACAGCATCCGTTTATCCCAGGACAAGTGTGGGGCAAAACCGGCGTGCCCTCAATGTAAAGTGGAAACAAAAAATACCCCGAGATAATTACAGGGGTGAACTCATGTGTAGTGTAGAATGTAAGTTGGGGAAAGGGTCGAACCAGCATTTAAAGTCTAGTGCGGAAAGGACCTTTAACACCCCCCACATCTTGTGCCGCATGACGGAGTGAGCTCCCGTCTCTAGTTCCTGCTCCTGCCAACCTAGCAGTTCGAAAGCAAGAAATGGCAAGTAGATAAATAGGGACCACTTCGGTGGGAAGGTAACGGCGTTCCGTGCGCCTCGGTGTTTAGTCGTGCCGGCCACATGACCACGGAAACGTCTTTGGACAGCGCTGGCTCTTCGGCTTTGAAACGGAGATGAGCACCGCAACCCTAGAGTCGGACTCGACTGGCTTTCGAGCAAGGGAACCTTTACATCTTGTGCAGTGGACAGGCTCTTGGACGTTGAGTGAGGAAATCCCGCTTTAACCCCCCCCCCCGCATCGTATATCATTCTCAGCCAGAGTTACCTGTCAAAGAAGAACAACGTTTGAGTCTGGTGGCACCTTTAAGACCAAGAAAGTTTTATTCGAGGGGCGAGGGTTCACGTGCACGCCACACTTCCTCAAGATACCAACTTTGTTGGTCTTCAAGGTGCCACCAGACTCACACTTGGTTCTCCTGCTTCAGACCAACACGGCTTCTCACCTGGATCTACCTGTCAAAGTGTCTGCGAGGATAACTTACAAGACAGGGGCTACATAGACGGCTCTTGGGCAGGAGGGAGGGGGGAATGTAAGGCGTGCATTTTCCTTCATATCCTCAGGATCAAGGATAGGGGGAGAGATTCTGCCTGGATTTTGATCCTGTGACTTATATGTATTAGGTTCATTTGGCAAAATGGCTGCTTTTCACTTATGGGTGTGCACCGTTCTGTTTCCTGCTAATTATGTAGAAAGGGAAGTTCTCACCTAGCAAAATCTCTTGCTCCGGGGCAGGGGTCCCGCTGACACCTTCTCTGGCGCCAATCAAACATTGTTAGAAAGTTTGTAAGCCGCTCTGAGACTCCAAGTGAAGGGCGGGGTATAAATCCAACCTCTTCTTCTTCTTCTAATTAATTAATCATGATGATTGAGAGCCGGCTTGGTATAGTAGTTAAAAGTGCGGACTCGGATCTGTGAGAACCGGGTTTGATTCCCCACTCCTCCACTTGCAGCTGCCGGGGTGACCTTGGGTCAGTCACAAGTTCTTTCAGAGCTGTTCTCTCAAGGAGAGGTTGGCTTCACGAAAGAGTAGGGTTACCAACCTCCAGGCGGGGCCTGGCCTTCTCCCGGTATCATGACCACTCTACAGACTATCGAGCTCAGTTCCTTTGGAGGAACTGGGGGGTCTAGAGGGGCGGACTCAGTGGTATACCATAGAGTCCGGGAGAAGCTGAAGTCCTTGCCTGGGCACTACCACTCCGAATCTCTTAAAAAAAAAAATCTGCCCTCAAAGGGTAGAATTTTATTTGTTTTTTCATAACAGACAAACCGAGCATACACACATATAACACAAATGGGGGTATCAAATGCTTATGTTTCCAATAATTGCCTGTTAGATATTCTCTATCTAATACAATATCACATATCATTATTTTCTATGAGCTCACATTTTTGTATCTTAAAACCAGGGGTTATTTCGTAGAAAAAGAGGTGCAGGAGCTCATTAGCATAATTCATTAGCATAACTTATTTGCATATGCCACGCCCCCTGACATCACCGGAAGTGTGTGAGCAGGGGGCGGGGTTTGTTGCATGTGCCC